ACAGTTTGAGAACTGCTGGCTCAGTGGAATGTTTATTATATGCCTATATTGCTTTAATTACATGAGGGTTGACACCAGGAAGAAGACAGTAGCTCCCAGATTAAAACATCCCAGCACACACTTGAAAGACAACAGGAAAGCTCTTAGTTAATGGATCCTACATCCTATATCCAATCAAGTTGCAAGACTTGTTCTGCCAGTGCTGGGAGTTAACAGATCAAAGGGCTATAAACAGGTAAAAGTGACTTGATCCCTGAAGGGACAAGGTGGGTGGCAATCAAAAACCTGAGCAAGATTTAGAGACACACTTCCTGAAGCAAAGATGCTGAACTGGGTTGTGAGTTAGGGGAACAGACTGCCACCCAGACCCTAAAGGTCTTGGGATGTCTGTAACAAGCTTAGACCTACCAGTTTCCCCTTGTGGAAGGGGAATAGACTTCTGGAAGGCTAGAGATGCATATAGCATGTTTACGGTTTTAAGATTTTTTTTTTCTGAAATGCTTTGGTTCTAAACAGACAATACCTTGTTTTAAGATGGCTGTCTGGTCACTGGACACCACTGGTCATAGCTCCCAGAAAGAAGAAAATTGCAGGTACTGAATCTAAGTTGGACCTGCTGAGGTAATCATGGTTAGCACCAGGTGGACTGTAGCCCAACGCCACCTGACAGTGTGAGAATCCTGTGATTCTACCTCGAGAGAGGAGACATCTCAAGACCTGAGATCGGGGGAGGAGGCAGGTGGGGTGCATTCAAAGAGACCAGGACGGGCCAGAGGTGCAATTAGCCTGTTAATTTACAGAAGCAGCTAGATGTTACCCTATCAACAGCAGAGGATAATAATAATAATAATAAAAAAAAATCATACCAAACTCTTGACAAATTGGTCTGCTGGATAAATATTATCTCTTAAATCCCTCTGGAGGCATCTAAACAACCTTAACTCTGCAGGGCAATTATGCAATAACCTTGATAAAGACATTTTAGTGTTTGTGATTCCAGAACAGTTTAAATTTATTTTTAAAGTCATTAGGTTTTTCCCCCCCCTCTTCCCCTCCCATATAGTATCACTACAGAGGCTATATGAAACCTCTGCATTATTCTGTTATGAGAACTGGGACCAAAAAATACATGTTGACACTGGGTGCAAAATTTCTTAAAGGGCCCATTTTTAATTTATTTTAACTAACTAACAGATTTACTTAAAATTTCCCACAAAATTCATTCTATACCCAAAGAGTAAGTGCTAGCATTTTGGGAAGGATACACTAATACATAACATAACATTGAATCTCTGCTTTAAGGCTTGTCCACACACTATGGGGGTTACAGCAGCTTACAATGGCACCATAGCTATGCTCTTGTAACCCCATAGCATGCCATAGATAAACTCCTTCTGTTACTATTGTGAGTTTCTGTCACTGTAGTAACTCTGCCTCCCTGAGCTGTGGTCCCTAGGTGAATGGAAACATTCTTCCATGGACCTAGCCGCATCTACACCAGGGGTTTAGGCTGGCATAGCTACAGCTCTCAGGGGTCAGACTTTTCATGCCCTTGAGCCCTGAAGGTACATTGATCTAAACCCCAGTGTAGACCAGGCTTTAGTGCAAAACTCAAATCTTGACTATGGAGCCATAGCTGGTGCCTCCATAACAACATTTGCTTTTTGGCTCAAAATCATTCTACTTAATTTTAAAAGTCATACAAACCATACTCTTAGGGAGGAAAATTTTTAACTGGAGTCTTCAAAGTTATACCCCTTTACTGAGAATGATGTGTGAGTGGGAGGGAACAGTTTTGCAATTTGTCCCCCTGACAATTTTAAGGATCAAGGGGCTTGAGCCAGCGTCCACTGAAATCAAGAGTATTTCCATTGATGTAAATTGGCTTTTGAGCATACCTTAAAATTAATGTCCAGTAAAAACAGAATGTTTTAATTAGCCAACTAGACAAATATTTTCTGCACTGAACCTGCTGATTGAAAACCAAACACTACAATTCCACTAAAATCTTCCAGTGCCAGGAACTGTAGTGAATATGGACACAAACCAGATCTCTTTTTCTTTGAGGTAATAAGTAAGTTACATCTTAAGTACACAGACTTTAAATTTTCCAACCTAAAAGCCTTACACACTTTGCTAATTTTTGTACTTTCACAGCCTCTCTGTAAGAGCAGTGAATATCTGCAAAACAAAGTCTCACAGTAACCACATTATTTAGGTCAAGAGTAAGTGATTAAAAGAAAAGGGATGGAATGCCAGTGATAATATTCAATACATTTCAGAGCTAGTCCAAGGCCTTTCAGCCAGCTTAAGACAGGAGCACTAAAGAGCAAATTATATGTAAGAAAAAAATACTGACAGCTCATCAATTGATTGAAAATCCTAAGGAAAAAAATTAATAAAGAAGTTAAGCTGCTGAAATACAGTTTCACCAATTAGCTTAATGTCAGAGAATTCTAATTAGGCGCCTTGAGATTGTTATTTAGTGTTTAAGCCTTTAGAGTGCCAAATTCTCCTTTTCACACAAACTGGTTGCAAAATTAAAGACATTAGGCAGCCTTAATTATATTATCAGAACAGCTGGGATTAGGCAATCTCTGAAGTCAAGGCGGTATTCTTTTGTCACAGGGTAGAAATCCCTTGCTTTCCAGGGTGCCGGATTTTGGTGCTGTTCCATATCTCACCCATACAAAGCTAGCTGCATTAGAAACAAAAAAAATTGAGGACAAAGAACAGAGTAATGCTCAGCAAATAATGAACACATTAAGGAAAGAGAAAAGGTAGGTGAAAAGATTAAGCCTGAAATCAGTAGGTTTTGCTAACACCTCTGCTGGCACCTGGCCTACCAAGCCTCTAGTGGCAGAAAGACTAAGAGAAAGCTCTGTAAACCAGCTTGGCTAGTGGATACAACTCTGTTATCTAAAGCTAAAGCACATTTCATACTCCCTTGTCCCATGGGGTGTGAAATTAGCAGCTATTGTTTTCACACATTTTTATAAAGACAATGCCTTTTATGTCTTTACATTGTTTAGACCGCTATGTTTTCCTCTTCACACGGGGATGCTCTTTTTTATTCAAATCTTTAAGCAACAGGATTTTTATTCCAGAAACACAACTAGCATTTTAAAAATCTCAGCCCGTTTAGTTACATAAACTTCAGCTAATTGCAAACATTTTAAAACTCACAAAGAAAAAGTGAAATCTCATCCTGTGCTTTATTTGATTGTTTTAGTCCCCAAGTACAGGTAAATCAAGCTTATGCTGATAACATGTGTTGGGGGGGGAAGGGGGTTAGAGGAAAGGGCGGAAAGGGGAGTCAAATGCTCAGCTTCCAAGGATCATTTAGGAAATCCCAAGGGAACTTGAACTACTAAATCAAATGGTACAAATATATGCAATCACTGCAAAGCTATCCATGATGAAATAAACTACTTTGCATTGCCTTTGTTACAATGATCTTCTGCGATTAAAAAAAAACCCTTTCCATGTAATTTAACCAACTTTTAGAGAGACAAGGTAAGAGAGGTAATATCTTTTACTGGACCAACATGGCTACACTACCCCTTTAATCAACTATGGCTGTTTTAACATTTGCAACCAGAATGCTTTTGTTTCAGATTGCAGAAAGGTTTATGTTTTCTGTGATTTTATTACACCAATACAAATAATCTGTGAATTTATGTTTTCTGTGATTCGATTACACCAATACAAATAATCAACCTTCAATCTATTTAGGTAGGATGGATGTAGTGGCAAATTAATGATTGCTTTTACTGATTAAAATACTACAGCACTAATGTTACAAGTTAAGGCTGCAGTGGTGCCTTCATTATAACCTTAAAACATTTGGTCAATTATAATATTCCGGGGGGGGGGGGGGGAGAATTAGCTTTAGGCTGAAGTTGTTCGATGCTTGTGTAAAATCAGAAAGAACTGTGTTAGGGAGGAAAGTGTGGTAAATTTTTGTTAGCTGTTTGAAGAAAGGGCATTTTTTTACACTATGCGTGTGTGTGTGTGTGTGTGTGTGTGTGTGTGTGTGTGTGTGTGTGTGTGTGTGTG